GGTAAGGGGCTCGCTGTGTCTCCTGTCCACCATCCAGCCCTCTTCTTGTACTATGGATAGAAATGATAAATAAAACCTCCCATGCACAAATATAATGCAGGCTTGCCAAGCCAAAATTACTGTGAATTTTTGATCAGGGTGTGAATTTCAAGTATTTGGGTTGGGAGAGGGGAACGGAATGTCTTGGGCTGCTGGTGACATTTTGCTATATATAATTCCTACAAGACTCCCAGTGTTGTTCCACAACTGGTGTGGAGTTAAAATTCTGAAAAGGTCAGACAACAAAATAAATTGGTGCGTGTCCCCCCTCCCCTTTCTCTCTCTTTCACACACACACACACACACACACACACGACCTTTCAGCAGCACTACCACTCATTTGCTGAGGCAAAAATAAGGCAAGAATTCTAAATAAATACCTTTGTTCAGTGAGCGATTACTATTTCTTATTTCAGTTTTATATAAGAAATCTCCCTCTCTTGGGGCTATTTGATGGAATATAGCTTAAAACCTCATTAATTCAGGGCCGGCCCGGTGGCGCACTGGATGGTGCGCCGCTTGGGAAGCGCGGCGGCNTACACAGGATTAAATGTGTAGAGTGCTTAGAACAGTGCCTGATGTACAATAAGTATTCGGCTATAAGCCTAGGCTAGATTAATCTGGGTTTGTGTTCTCTCAGATCTACCCCTCAGTCACTTGATGAAGGTTGTGCCCTCTTTGGGACTTAGAGGAATCATCTGCAAAATGAGGCGTTGGCCAATCTTTTACTCCCAAGGACCAAGACCTGTTCCCACCAGCTCATTCTTTTTAACTGACATGATTTTATTTTAAAAGATTTTATTTGCCAAACTTCATTTGCTAAATAATAACTTACATGAACTCATCAAAGTTTCTCTTAGATTTTATAATATAATAGCTCGCAATGCTCCTGGATCAGGTGACATCATTCCTGAGGGGCCACCCTTTCCATCTACTCCAGCTTTGGATAATGGCACTTCCACAGCAAGAAGCAAGTGCCTTCAGATATTTCTGGGCCATAGAATAGGGGACCAAGTGGACCCTGAACTGGAAGATGCTTCATGCTGGTTTTTGAAGTGCTCTGTGTCCCTGGTGCCAGTGTCCCTCAGGGTTATCATCTGAGAAGCACACCTTCCAGCCAAGTTTGGAGAAGGAATTGTCCTGACTCCCTGATGGGGATACATCTTGTCTTTGGAAAATCCCAGAGTAAGTTATCACTTGGGGAAGGTCATTTTTATGGTGATTGATGTTTTGGTCTGCTGAGTCCTTTGAGTTAGCCCTCTCCATATACTAGCTCTTTAAATTTTCACAACAATATTCGAAGGCAGTTATTATCATTTCCATTGAATAGATGGTGAAAGTATGGTCAGAGAAGTGATTTGTGCAAGTTCAACTAGCTAGTAAATGACAGCATTGTTTAGAATTTCTTGCATATATTAAACCACTAATTCTTACCTACCTCTGAAGTAGCAATGATCTCCATTTTGAAGATGAGGAAACTGAGGCTTAGCAAAGTAAAGGGACTTGTGCAAGGTTACAGAGCGAAAAATTAGTCAAGTGGGAGGTGAATCCAAGTTTAATGCTCTTTCTTCTCAACAGCTGCTGGCAAGCCAGCTATGAGGTAATGCCCCACTCCCCTTTTGGCAGCCAGGTGAGCCTTGTGGAAAGGTGCTAGTCCCCAGTGGGTTTGTCAGACGGGGTGGAGACCTACCTTGGATGTCATCATTGAACATGCAGTACTTGTTGCGGTATTTGTTGAGCAGGCGGAAGGCATTGGCATTGGCAAAGTCTTCAAACTGGATGAGGCAATTTATTCCAAACCTGTGGGGAGAGAGGAAAAAGAATGCATGGTTGCCTCCCGGAGGAAGATCCCTGGCAGATCCCAGCCTGCACTGGGGAGTGGGGAGGCACAGGCCAGGAGATAGGGATGGCATGGCTCCTTCATCTGGGTTTTTGCCATCTGGGTTCCTGGGCCTGGAGCTCTGCTTGCTCCATCATAGATGAGGATGGGGAAAGGACAGCAGAACACTGGGCTTGGTAGTCAGCCAAGCGGACACCACTGTATCCATTGTGAGCTGGTGGCTCCCATGGGCTGCCATGGAGGGCTGAGATGGGCCTGCACTCTCTGTAGCCTGTGGCCATCCGAGATCCCAGCAGAAAGCTCACTCCAAACCCAAGCGCATGCAGAGAGCCTGGCTGCCCCACCACCGGGGGCTGGGGAATGTCTGCAATCTCCCAATATCCCCCTCCTGGACCCTAAGGCCTGGTGCTCCTCCATTAGTGACTCCTCTGGGTTCAGACATTGTTCCCTGATAATATGCAAGGGAGGTTAGGAAAGGCCACTGTATGAAGTCACTGTCACCTACTAACATCTTGGTGAAGTTGTTCTCCAGCTTGCAGGCACAGAAGAATCAGTGAGCTTGTTTAAAGTGCAGCACACCAGGCCCATCTTGCAAAGTCTCACTCAGTGAGTGCAGGGTGGGGCTCAGGAATCTGCATTTCTGACAGTCACCCCAGGTGGTTCTGCTGCTTACAGTCTGCTGACGGTTCTGCTGCTGACAGAGCTTTGAGAACTGCTGTGGTGGGTGAAGACAGTGCCTAATAAGCTGCTTGAAATGCCTAATTTAAAATCTATGCTAGCATTACCTCTGAGATTTCAAGGTCTTCTGGAAAAATGACTGGGTTTGTTAGAGCTTTGTAACCTACTTTTCCTTTCAACAGTGCCTATTAGGAAGCTAAGATAGAATTTTTCTGCTCATTTGCAACAGGCCTCCTCAGCTTATTTTTGCACATAGATTTCCCTTCTATTTGATCCCTACTCTTTGAACCTGGTGGTTTGATAGCTTTGTTGGTGTCTCTTAGTCTTTCTGGAAGTAAGTGTGGTATGAATTATTAAAAATTACCTAACACATGGACAAAAAATAGGTTTCATCTCATGGGTCAATTTGTGATTAAGAGTATCCGAGGTCATGTTCACTGAGAAAAAATGCCCTGATTGATCAGTAAGAAGTGTTGGTGCATGTAATAGGAAAGTGGCCTGTCATTCCCAGCCTGGTGTGATACAGGCTTGGGACCAGCTGTGGAAAGACATTACCTTGCTAGAAAAGGGGGGTGGGGCACACCGTTGGTGGGCTTCCTGTATTCTTGGGGGAGGGGTGGCATTATTCTGATGAGTCTGGTGGCTATCCGAGAGTGAGTAGCACTGAAATACCCAGAAAATATTTTTTCCAACCTCATAATTTTGTGCATGGCTTACTTGTCCAGTAGAAATGCCAGTGAGCAGACAAATATTTGCTCCTGTCATGGTCTGAGGGTGATATTTCCCCCCTAGCTTTATTGAAATATAATCAACAAATAAAAATTGTGTATATTTACGGTGTACAATGTGATGACTTGATATATGTGTATATTATGAAAAGATTACCATAATCAAGCTAATTAACATATACATCACCTCACATAGTTAAGCACACCAGGCCCATCTTGCAAAGCCTCACTCAGTGAGTGTGGGGTGAGGCTCAGGAATCTGCATTTCTGACAGTCACCCCAGGTGGTTCTGCTGCTGACAGAACTTTGAGAACTGCTGTGGTGGGTGAAGACAGTGCCTAATAAGCTGCTTAAAATGCCTAATTTAAAATCTATGCTAGCATTACCTCTGAGATTTCAAGGTCTTCTGGAAAAATGACTGGGTTTGTTAGAGCTTTGTAAACTACTTTACTTTTCAACAGTGTCTATTAGGAAGCTAAGATAGAATTTTTCTGCTCATTTGCAACAGGCCTCCTCAGCTTATTTTTGCACATAGATTTCCCTTCTATTTGATCCCTACTCTTTGAACCTGGTGGTTTGATAGCTTTGTTGGTGTCTCTTAGTCTTTCTGGAAGTAAGTGTGGTATGAATTATTAAAAATTACCTAACACATGGACAAAAAATAGGTTTCATCTCATGGGTCAATTTGTGATTAAGAGTATCCGAGGTCATGTTCACTGAGAAAAAATGCCCTGATTGATCAGTAAGAAGTGTTGGTGCATGTAATAGGAAAGTGGCCTGTCATTCCCAGGCTGGTGTGATACAGGCTTGGGACCAGCTGTGGAAAGACATTACCTTGCTAGAAAAGGGGGGTGGGGCACACCGTTGGTGGGCTTCCTGTATTCTTGGGGGAGGGGTGGCATTATTCTGATGAGTCTGCTGGCTATCCGAGAGTGAGTAGCACTGAAATACCCAGAAAGTATTTTTTCCAACCTCATAATTTTGTGCATGGCTCACTTGTCCAGTAGAAATGCCAGTGAGCAGACAAATATTTGCTCCTGTCATGGTTTGAGGGTGATATTTCCCCCCTAGCTTTATTGAAATATAATCAACAAATAAAAATTGTGTATATTTAAGGTGTACAATGTGATGACTTGGTATATGTATATATTATGAAAAGATTACCATAATCAAGCTAATTAACATATACATCACCTCACATAGTTAACCATTTTTTTTTGGTAGTGGGAAAACTTAAGATTGGACTCTCTTAGCAAATTTCAAGTATACGAGACAGTATTATTAACTATAGTCTGAGAGGGATCTTTAGCCTAAGTGCTAAACACAAATGTCATTCTGACCACAATTTTTATTCAGTCATAGAGCAAGTGCTGATGGGGATGTGGTAAGGGGCTCGCTGTGTCTCCTGTCCACCATCCAGCCCTCTTCTTGTACTATGGATAGAAATGATAAATAAAACCTCCCATGCACAAATATAATGCAGGCTTGCCAAGCCAAAATTACTGTGAATTTTTGATCAGGGTGTGAATGTCTGAGAGGGATCTTTAGCCTAAGTGCTAAACACAAATGTCATTCTGACCACAATTTTTATTCAGTCATAGAACAAGTGCTGATGGGGATGGGGTAAGGGGCTCGCTGTGTCTCCTGTCCACCATCCAGCCCTCTTCTTGTACTATGGATAGAACAAAAAATAGGTTTCATCTCATGGGTCAATTTGTGATTAAGAGTATCCGAGGTCATGTTCACTGAGAAAAAATGCCCTGATTGATCAGTAAGAAGTGTTGGTGCATGTAATAGGAAAGTGGCCTGTCATTCCCAGGCTGGTGTGATACAGGCTTGGGACCAGCTGTGGAAAGACATTACCTTGCTAGAAAAGGGGGGTGGGGCACACCGTTGGTGGGCTTCCTGTATTCTTGGGGGAGGGGTGGCATTATTCTTGAAAAATAGGTTTCATCTCATGGGTCAATTTGTGATTAAGAGTATCCGAGGTCATGTTCATTGAGAAAAAATGCCCTGATTGATCAGTAAGAAGTGTTGGTGCATGTAATAGGAAAGTGGCCTGTCATTCCCAGCCTGGTGTGATACAGGCTTGGGACCAGCTGTGGAAAGACATTACCTTGCTAGAAAAGGGGGGTGGGGCACACCGTTGGTGGGCTTCCTGTATTCTTGGGGGAGGGGTGGCATTATTCTGATGAGTCTGGTGGCTATCCGAGAGTGAGTAGCACTGAAATACCCAGAAAATATTTTTTCCAACCTCATAATTTTGTGCATGGCTCACTTGTCCAGTAGAAATGCCAGTGAGCAGACAAATATTTGCTCCTGTCATGGTTTGAGGGTGATATTTCCCCCCTAGCTTTATTGAAATATAATCAACAAATAAAAATTGTGTATATTTAAGGTGTACAATGTGATGACTTGGTATATGTATATATTATGAAAAGATTACCATAATCAAGCTAATTAACATATACATCACCTCACATAGTTAACCATTTTTTTTT